ATTATTTAAGAAACTTACTGTTCTTTTTCTTGAGCATTTGAGAATCTACATTGTTCAAACTCTTCACTAAGTTTCTGATATTTTATTTGAAGAGATTGTTTTTCCTTTTCTGTATTAAATTTTAAAGCAGAAAGTCGTTCTTTAGTTTCCTTCTGAGATCCAAATTTTTTCCTTATATCTTCAAAATCGATTGAACCTAATTTATTAAAAATGTTTATTTTACAATTTTTTAGGTTAATTACATTCGCAGATAACTCATTTATATTCACTCTTATTTTATATAAAACCAGTAATTTGTTTTAATCTTATATAGGTAGAATCTGATACTTCTTGATTATCTGATGATTCATTACCAACCAAACGTTGTTCATCGCAAGAACTATGAATTGAATCATGACGAGATAATTTTTGACCAGGAGGGAAAATTTTTCTTTCTAATCTTTCTAACTCTAATTTCCTCTCTTCTACTTTAGCCCTAAAATTAATTGTGTCATTTTTTTTTATTTTAGGGTAGTTAAAATAATTTTTATNTTATTTTAGGGTAGTTAAATAAATTTTTATGTTTACCTTATTTGTTCGACTTGTCGCATACGGAACTTTGCGATGTTGGTTGCATTTATTTCTTTCTTTTGTAATGTATTTCTAGTTTTGTCTCTTGCTTGAACAGCTTCCTCATTGATTTTCTACTTAAAAAATATTTAAAATGTCATTGACATAAATCAATAGCCGCGATAATAATAATAATAAAATAGTTATAATACTTCGAGCCTATGTATTTCTTTTTGTTGATTTGCTATAGATTTTTCTAACTTATCTAAAATTGAATCAAACAAAACAGAATCATCCAGCAATTGTTTTTTTATTGATCTATACTTGCGTGTCACATGCGAAGCTTTCATTCTGCTCATATCGACTTGATGAGATCGATTTTCTAGCACTGACAAAGACTGTACAATAATATATAACGTTTCATTGTAATTGATTTAGACGTGAAAATAACTAGCAAGTGATTTATCTCACTTTAGCGGTATTCAAATCCCTGCTCATTGCAGAGCTGATCTTTGACCGTAAGTCACTCCATTTTTCAAATAAATCATTCAACTTGGATCTTTTCTAAAGCAATAACGGAAACATTAAAACAAATCTAGATTGCTTTAGACTATTATACATTACCTGATTAATATCATGTCTAATTAGATCAGTTTTTTTCTTCACATCAATCAACTTCAAATCCAAAATATCCAACGCTTCATGATATTTTTTTTTTTTTTAAACTACCATATTGTTATGACTTTTTAAAAATGTATCAGGAAGAGCTTCAGCGCACTAAATAAACATAATAGTTATCATTCATTTATATTTTTTAATAATTTTATTGTAGTTAAACACTTACTGTAATTTTTTGTTTTTTATTTTCATACATTTTTTTAATTTCTTGCTTTAATGTCTGGATATTTTCGTTGTGTTTTTTCTTTTCCTCTTCACATTCTTCATATTGTGTCTTCTTCTGTCCCTTTATGCAAAATGAGTTAAAATAATAATTTTGTATTAATTCTAAATTCAAACAAACTACAGTTAATGTTACGGTTTTGTAAAACTTGATATACAACACAGTAAAAAATGAAAAAACACAGATTAAAACATAATATTTTCATAGCGAAAGAAAATATAATTGTATAATTGTTACTATAATGTTATATTAAAGTTAAATACATTTTTTTTATATAAAATTAAATGTATAATTTAAGATGACTTTTTCAATAAGAATATTGTGTTTAAAATTAGGTTACCAGACAATTANAGATGACTTTTTTAATAAGAATATTGTGTTTAAAATTAGGTTACCAGACAATTGAATTTTTTTTTTCAACTCATTTATACTATTTATGAGTACATCGTAGGAAACTATGAAGTTTTCACGTCTTCCAGACATTAGTTTATCATATTGTAAATTAATTATAATATTCCTAAAAATTTAATTTCAATAGTTCTTATATAATATGTAAAGTTAAAGAAACAGCTAGGCATCTACTGGTGTGAATAAATGTAAGTCTCAAATGTGGAGGCTCGTACTAGTTTGATCAATAACTACAAGATAATAAGAAAAAATAATTCGACTTTTATAGTACAGAAATATGTTTAAACTTCAAAATATGGTATGCTAATATGCTACTTAGTTTCTATTTAGATTTAAGATCATGTAATGAGTTATATATTCATAATAAATATTAAGTTATTAAATTTCGAAGTTATTAAATAAATTATCTAGTTAACTTAAGAGTTTGTACTCTCTACATCATATTTTCGAGTATTTCATAATATCAAAAAAATTAACAGTCCACGTGATTTTACAAATATTGTTTATTTTATCATAAATAACATACTTGATAAAATAATCGAATAATTTATATGTTTTTTCGGATAATATTATGTGATACTTGACATGTGGGACACGTCTACACTTAACCCGTCGTTGGTACACATGTGAGCGCGCCGCTCACACAGATAGCATTTCGAGCGTTATTCGTACAAATATTATTGAATTAATCTGATACTATAAATACCTTCAAATAACATGTCTATAAATATTTTTAAAAATAAATGATTGCGCTATTTGTCATTTCCTATCAGTTATCGATAGACAAAGTCGACTGTATCGATTTATTGAGCGTCGCGCTAACACTGTACTAACCGCGCAATATTTTTATCACCACCGTCACAGTCGATTACGTACACGTGTTTTTACTATTTTTTAATTTATCATGTCCAATAAAGTTATTTCGTGGTTAGAAGAGACCGAAGAAGTTTTTTTAGATGACTCAGACGATACCGATGCTGATCCTAGTTATGTAGATCCCGCCGAATTACGTGAAAATGAGTCTGATAGTGACATTTCTGAACCTAGACCTAGTATAATTACTCAAAGATCAAATACTTCACAAACCTCTCGTTCAAGAAGTCATAGTCCTATAGCACAGAATTCTTACTACTTAGGAAAAGATAAACAAACAAAATGGTATAAAGACGCTCCTCCTAAAAATGTACGTACTCGCCAACGTAACTTCGTTTTACGTTTACCAGGCGTAAAACCAACAGGTCGCAATGCAAATTCTATTTTGAAGTGCTGGAACTTATTTTTTGCTGATTCCATGATTGACGATATAGTAAAATACACCAACATATATCTGGATAAAATTCGTTCAAAATATACACAAAAACATATGGTACGCGAAACCTCAAAATCCGAAATAAACGCGCTTTTTGGACTGTTATATTTGGCCGGTGTTCAACGTGGTAATCATCTCAACCTTGATGATTTATGGTCAAATGACGGCTTATCTCCAGAGTATTTTCGAGCAGTTATGCCAAAAGCACGATTTTATATTCTTCTAAGAGCAATGAGGTTTGACGATATAGGTACACGGGCTCAGAGAAAACAATTTGATAAGCTTGCGGCCATTCGTTCAATATTTGACGAATTTGTTCTACGCTGCGAGAATTATTATACAGTGTGGGCAAATGTAACTATAGATGAAATGCTCGAAAGTTTTCGAGGCCGTTGTAGTTTCCGAGTGTATATCCCAAGTAAACCTAACAAATATGGTATAAAAATCCAGGCCTTAGTCGACTCTAGCACCTTTTATACGTCGAAAATGGAAGTGTACGTTGGGACTCAGCCCGATGGGCCTTATAAATGCGAAAACGACCCAGCAAGTGTAGTAAAAAGATTAATCGCCCCAATTACGAAAACAGGTCGTAATATCACCATGGATAACTGGTATAATTCTATACCTCTAGCAATTGATCTACTAAAAAATCACAACACTACTGTAGTTGGTACACTTCGTAAAAACAAACGTGAAATTCCCCTTTGTTTTTTAGACACTAAAAAAAGGCAATTGAACTCTACGATGTTTGATTATGACAAAGACATATTGCTTACGTCATATGTACCAAAAAAAAATAAAAATGTATTGCTTATTTCCACTATGCACGAACAAGGTGTCATTGATCCAGAGTCTGAAAAAAGAAAACCAGAAGTGATAACGTACTACAACAGTACAAAAAGTGGCGTGGATTGTGTGGATGAAATGAAGGGCGAATACTCTGTGGCTAGAATAAGTTGCAGGTGGCCACTGACCATTTTTTTCTCTCTGATGAACATAGGAGGCATAAATAGCCAAATTATTTTTCGAGAAAATACAGGAATTTATCTAAGTCGTCGAAAATTTCTAAAAACTTTGGGAAAAGAACTTACAAGACCATTTATGTTAGAACGATTGCAGATGCCTACTTTGCGTACAAGTATTCGACAAAGAATAATAAAATTGACTGGTTACACCAAGACAGAAGATGAAGTCCCTGAACGTTCAAACATTGATCATCGTCCGAAGTGCGTATTTTGTCCAAAAAGAAAAAATCGAAAGACCATGGTGAGGAAATATTTTTATGAATACATAATAATAATAATATTATATATAACTAATTTTTCAAATAATTGTTTGAAATAATTTTGTAGACCAAGTGCGTAAAATGCAGCGTGCCAATATGTAAGGAGCATACGACGAGCACATGCGTATCCTGCTGTAACGATCACAACGAAATAAGTAGTACAGAAAGTGAATAGACCAAAGTGATGAATTTAATAGTTTATAAATTTTCATTTATATTAAGTTTTTAATTAATTTGTATTGCTTTATAAGGAAAAAAAAATTTTTTTTTGGAATAAGATTGTAGTTTTTTATTTTTATTTTATAAATTATGACATTTACTTAAAAAGTATTTATTTACTTTTTAGTGAAGGATAAAAATATACATAATTCTAGGTACGGTGTAATTTTTTAAGTTAATCGATCAATTAATAATAATATATAAAGTGAAGTGTGAGCGTCACGCTCACAGTGTAACAATTATGTTACGAAATATATGTGTACCAACGACGGGTTAATAAAAAAAATATATTTAATACCTCTTGCTTAATGTTCCTTCATAAAGCACACCATAAGAAATCTTGAATATTTTTATGTTAAATGTTCTTTAATGTATTATAATATGCCAATTTTTTTGGTTTTATAACTTCAGAATGTTGTCAAGTATCCTATTAATGGTTAATGTGCTACAAAATAGTAATATTTGAGCGATTATGTACATTAATTTTATTGTATTATATTTTATAAGATATGTTGAAAAAAATTCAACATTCATAGAAAATACGAAATTTGTATATATTATTGTATGAAATGTAAACAGTAGTGACGTATGCCACCTTAGTGGTTTTTCGTCTTCATCAACCATATGACCGTACCTGATAAATATTAATACACAGTATACCTACGCTTTTCATCTATTCGATTGAAGCGCTGCCGGGGACAAGTACAATAATGAATGATTGTTGTTTGGAACAAAAATAATGTATGCAGATGAATTGACAGAGTATTTATTTAAAAAAACGAGTTCGTTACCACTTGAAACAAAAACGACGCCCCGCGTATAGTATATATATATATATACTATACTTATATGTAGGTATGTATGTATGAATAATACAATATGTATTTAATAATTTAAAAGTTATTTATTTCAAAATGAGGCTTATATTAATTTTTTGTGTATTAGTCTTCATTTGTTTTTCTGAAGTGGCAATCTTAGATTTTTTTCGTATGGAATATGAATAATGTTTTTCCATCTGTGTATTATATGCAAATATGAAATGAAATTTCTCATCTTATTAACGTACCAAATTATTATTATTCATATTAAAATATGAGTTACTAAGAGTATACTTACTGGAACCGAATTCTAGTAAAATTATTAAACCAAGTATATTGATTTAGTTTAATAAAACTCATCAATATTAATTTTCGATAATAATTTTATTACAGCAGTTGAATAATAAATTATATTTATGAGTAATAATTCTGTGGTTTTAACTCAACTGATAATAATTTGAAAAAAAAAACCAGTCAATGATAGTCATGTGATAAACAAAATTAAAATATTTTGTATCATCTAGTTAGAATATTCACAACTCTATGTATGAAAATACATATTGCATACTTTAATTGAGTTTGAAATAAGTAACAAATGATACCGGTTTTATATTTCAATAGTGTTTTAATATTTGTACCTAAGTAGAAGAGCGAAATTAATGTAATATTCTTTGTGCAATAACACTACTTTATTTTTCATTTGATACTTATTCCAACCACAGATTGCCTCTACCTAATTATGTATGGTATACATTTTTTATAGCTAATAATTTTTACATTAGTTTCGCGTTAAAATGCAATTAAACAACGGGAACCATTTCTGCATAATTTACCTGTAAATAGATATGCACTCGTCGGATGTTGAAGTACAAGGTAAATTGTTCCGACTACTAGATAGGTATTTAAGGATGAATTCTAGTGAAAAATTCTAAAATCATCAATGAACGTATGAACGCATTTTAAGTTTATCTTCAGTAACAGAAGTATATATTTTTCCCATCGGGTACTTTGGACATATTCGTTATTACGATAACGTACCTATATGTAAATAAGTATTGGAACAGTAATTATTATTTATAACTTTCCCATATTTATTTATATGAAAAATGACTATTTTAAGTTTTCAAGATATTTTAATGAAATGTTATAAATGATC